GCATACCCAGCAAATCTGGCAAAAGGGTATTTTCAGAGATTATGTAGAATTGAAGCCGCTGGTAACTTTCTATCACTATGTCCATGTTATTTAACACTATATTTTAGCACAGATTTAAAAAAGATCAAAAAAATTTCTGTAGAAGATGATATTAATTTAATGGTGATGCTTAAATACAGTAAAAGAAAATATTAGAGCTTATTGCATATAGTAAGCATAAGTGTTCCCTCAAGAAGGAAGAAAATCAAGTCATCGACAAATGCAGGCAAACTCATGCTGGCCTCTAACATGAATAAAGATAAAAGAAAAACACTTTGAAATATTGGCAAACACAGAGGAAATATGGTACTTATTGAACCATCTTGAAAAACTTATTAATTATAAAAACTAGCAAACTAAGAACGACATCCAAATGAAGAATTCAACATGGTTGCTATGGTTGTAACGTCTCCCAAAATTCATGTGCTGAAATACAATCTCTATTGTGGTGGTATTAAGAGGTGGAGCCTTTTGGGAAGTGACTAAGCCATCATGAAAAGATTACATCTTACAAACAGGCTAGAGAGAAGGAGCTAAGGTCCCTCTTTGCTTGTCCATTGTTGTGTTCTTCTGCCAAATGAGGAAACCTAGACAGCACCATCTATGAACAACAGGGCCTTACCACGCTGAACTTGCTGGCACCTTGATCTTAGACTTCTCAGTCTCTTGAACTATGAGAAAATAAATTTCTTTTCTTTATAAATTATCCTGTCTCAGGTTTTTGTTATAGTAGCAAAAATGGACTAAGACAATGGTAAAGCTGTGGAACAGGTGTGGATGTAAGCAATACATTCATTTAAATATAAAACTAAGACTAAATATCTGTGGAAACAATAATTACAGGAAAAAATGTAAGTATTATAAACTCTGACAATATAAAATACTAAAAAATCACTAATAAAAATCACAAGTTAATAAGGAAGTAATTTAGGAGTGAGTACGCTATCTTTATTTTTACCCTTCTTTATTTTCTCACTTTATAAAGCAGGCATCAGTACTTACTGTCTAAAATTGATACATCAAGAAACAGAGGTTTGAATATATTAAATATTATGACAAAGAAACCACTAAAACCCAAATTTTCATCAGGGGAGAAATACACAAAATAAACCCTAACCATAGAGTAGAAAATAGAAAATAAATGAAGCAGTAAAAAGAAAGTAACAAAAAAACAAGTTGACCAAATTTAGGTTAGGAAAATAAATGTAAATGTAACAAATTTATTTATTATAATTAAAGGATCCCAGATATCCTCAAAAAGAAAAACACACAAAGTGCATTATAATTGTAAAAGGTGGGAAACAATCTAAATATGCATTAACAGGGGACTATAGAAAAGTAATATACAGCTGTAAAACATAGGGCCATACTACTATACTAAAAAGAATAAGATTATATATATGGGTGAGGGTACAATACATAGAAATATTTATATGATATAATCTATATCCTTGCATATACATAGAAAATGTCTGGAAGAATACACAAAAATTTGTAAGTGGCTGCATCTAGAGAGTGGAATTAGAAAGTAGCTTTTATACTTTATTATTTGTATTTTCTGTATTTTAAGACAATTCAAAAAATAAATTTAACTTAGTTTTTGATTCAGGAGGTATATGTGCAGGTTTGTAACATGGGTATACTGCATAATACTGATGCTTGGGCTTTTAGTCAACTCATTATGCAAACAGTGAACATGATACTCAATAAGCAGTTTTTCAATTCTCACCCCCATCCCACCCTCCCTAAGAAAATTTTAAAAACTTAAAAAATATTTAAAAAGTTCCTAACAACTACAAGTTGTAGTGAATAAAAATGTTTTTTAAAACATTAAATACCCTGTACCAACAGGCATCTTTTGCCTTGTAAATCTGATTTCTCATGACCCCTTTGTAAACTTAGTTATGACAATTTTCTTCAAATTACTGTTCACTGAACCTTTATTTGGTCCCTTTAAATCGGCTGCTTTTCCCAATATTACTCACGTTCCGTTAATCAAATATTTAAGTCTAGTTTTCTCTGGCATAAGGACTTAACTTACTCATCATTGGCTCCACAATGACCTTAACAATTCTTCAACTCCTCTTCAAGTCATACATCCAACACATTCTCTATTAATATGTGACTGTTATATATTACTTTGTAGAAAACAAAACAAAGTGACAACCGTTAATGGTTCATTCTAGACGTTCTGCTTTCATAACTAGCCTATGAGCTCCTTGAGTGCATCATGTGAATGTTAGCATCCTGCTAATGTTTGGTTTACAGATTCATTTATTCAATATTTTACTGACAGTATACTATATATTAGAAATAAAAAAATACTCAGTCTCTTACTTACTATCAAGGGAAACATAAACAAGTATTTATAATTCAATGGAAAAACAAATAAGAACTAGAAATGCCCAATAGGCAAAGGAAAAATATATTGCAAATCATCAGAGAAATGCAAATTAAGACAACAATGAGATGACCTTACTAAAGTAAAAAAGAATGAGAAAACCAAATGTTAGAAAGGATAGGGAGCATGCAGAAGTTTCGTACACTGCTGGTGGAAGTCTACAATGGCATAATCCCTTGGAAAAACGGTCTAGGAGTTCTTTCAAAACTAGACTTTCACTGATGTTAGGACCCAGTGATTCACCTCAGGTGAACTGAGAAGAGAAACAACAACATATGTTTACCCAAATCCATGAAGAATGTTCAGTAGCAGCTTTATTTGTCATAGTCAAAAGTAGACTTAATTTAGCTGTTTATCACCAGGAGAATGGATAATCAAACTATGGTTTATGCATGCAACAAAATATAAATCAGCAATAACAAGAAATAAAGCACAAAAATACCCAAAAGCAGGGATGAATCTTAAAATTATCATCCTTAGTGATAGAAGTCGGACAGCAAAAAAGGATTTACTATATAATTCCATTTGTGAGAAATTCTATATCAGGCTTTTACCTATGAATTGGAAAAGATATGAGGGAACATCCTTGGGTGCCAGAAATATTCTGTATCTTGACATACATTCATAGAAAAAGAATAGAGAATATTCTTCCATTTGTTAAGATCTAAGCATTTCACTTTATGTAAATTATACCTCAATTAAAAAAAACTTTAAAGATAAAAATGCCGATTATACTATTTATACCTTTTAAACCAACAAATTTAGGTTAATTATTTATAAGTTTAGTTACATATAATTCTCTTTTAAATGCATTATCTAAAAACAGTTATTATGATAAATTAAGAGAACATAATTGCTGGGAAAGCATGTAAATTACTTAAGCAAACACACCCCTTCTCAAGTAACCTAAACACTTCCAAAATTTGTTGAATGATGAATGCAGAAATTTGTAATAGATGTAAAACAAGTTGTCTAGTCTTTAGAGGATGTGTTTATGGATCAATAAGAATGATTTTTATTACCAACATCAAAGGCAGGCCTACAAATTGGCACTTTATGGAAAAAAAATGTTTTTAGTAAGTAGTATAAAGTGAAACAGGAGGAGGTAGTAGGAGTTTTTGGAGGGAGTTTATATTATATAATATGTATTATTAAATACAGCAGCTGCTAGCTACACATGGATACTAAACTCTTGAAATGTGGCTAGTATGACTAAGGTACAAAATTTTAATTAAAATTTGAATAAATTAAATGTATTTAAAGGCACTAAGTTTATTTAAAGAAAGGCACTACTGAAAATATAAAATAAAAGGCTTAAAGAAGAAAAGAGTTAAACTTTTTAGATAACTGGAGAAGAGTGTTCCAGGCAGAGAGACAGCAGATATAAAGGCCCTGAGGCAGGCATGTGCTAAAAATAGCAAGGAGGCCAGTGTGAGGGACTGAGAAGCTGGAAGAGGCCAGAGAGGAAACAGGGACTTATGGAAAGCAAGGCCTTGAGATCAACAGTAGAGTTTGATTTTTACTCTTAGTGAGATGGGAAGCAAACTAAAGGTTTCGAGCAGTGAAGTGATAGGATCTGACTTACATGTCAAAAGGCTCTTTGACTATTTGTTGAGAAGAGACTGAAGGTGGGGAGCTCCGGGTGTGAGAACAGTTATTACATTTCAGGTGAGGGAAGGTGGTGGTTGTCCATGCAGGTCTAGCATTGGATCCAAGGTAAGAAGCAATTGGATCCATGAGCTAAAAATAAAACTGGTTTAAAAATAAAATTCTGTAATTAAGACTCTCCTTCAAATGCCTCAAAATAGAAAAGTTCTGCTACACCCAAGAGCCCATCCTGTCCAGTATCTCATCTATCTAAAAAGGTGAATTGACATCAATAATAATAGTAGTGATATATTTTCTCATGATTAAATGAAAGTTCTGAAAATGTACACAATACGAGTCTCAACTTTAGAGAAGAGGAAGCTGAGGTTAGAGAGGCTAAGCACTTTGTCTGACAGCTACGATTTACTAAATAAACATTATTTAGTAATCATTATTATTTAATAAATAATCTAAACACGATCACATTTTAAAAACTGACATAATGAAAACTTTCAGATAGCCCAAAAAAGGATAATAGCATAATGAGCTCCCATATACCTTTCATTTCTGTGTTCAATAATTATCAAGATTCAGGCAGGGCACAGTGGCTTCCACCTATAATTCCAGGATTTTGGGAGGCCAAGGCAGACAGATCACTTGAGGTCAGGAGTTCAAGACCAGCCTGGCCAACAAAGCAAAAACCTCATCTCTACTGCAAATACAAATCCCAGCTACTTGGGAGGCTGAGGCACAGAACTGCTTGAACCCAGGAGGTGGAGGTTACAGTGAGTGGAGATTGTGTCACTGCACTCCAGCCTGGGCCACAGAGCAAGACTCTGTTTAAAAAAATAAAAAATTAAAAATAAAAAATAATCAAGATTCTGTCATATTTTAAATCTATTTTTTCATTAATTTTTTTACTAAGCATTTTGAAAGTAAATCTCCCTACATACTTCCAAAGGCATATCAAATATCATGAATGTTTTATTATGCCATTGTTTTACCTAAAAATTATTCCTAAATTGTTAATTTCTAAAAACTTAACAATTATTCTTTGGTATCATCTTAATACCTAGTCCATAAACAAATTTTTTCCAAATGCCTTAAAAATGTCTGTCTTTCCCAGAGGATTAATTTGAATCAGGTTGTAAAAATACCTATACATTAAATTTGGTGTTTCCTTAAGTCTCATTAAATGTATTGATCTGTACTCTTTTTCCTTTTTGCTTTTTATTTTTTCCACATCATTGGATTATTGCAGAAAACAGGCTGATCTTCCTGTAGTTGGTCCCACATGCTGATTTCTCTGTTTATTTTCTTGTGAGGTGATTTAACTTATTTCTCCATTTCCCAAATGTCTGGTTTATGAACAGTAACTTCTAGAGCAGTGCTTTCCAATAAGATTTTCTGTGATGACAGAAATGGAAATGTTTTATATCCGTGCTATCTAATACAGCAGCCACTAGCTACACGTGGATACTGAACTCTTGAAATGTGGCTAGTATGACTAAGGTACAAAATTTTAATTATTAAAATTTAGGGCCTGGCACGGTGGCTCACGCCTGTAATCCCAGCACTTTGGGAGGCCAAGGCAAGTGGATCATGAGGTCATGAAGATCAAGACCATCCTGGCTAACATGGTGAAATCTCATCTCTACTAAAATACAAAAAATCAGCTGGGTGTGGTGGCGCACATCTGTTGTTCCAGCTATTCGGGAGGCTGAGGCAGAAGAACTGCTTGAACCCAGGAGGCGGAGGTTGCAATGAGCTGAGATTGTGCCACTGCACTCCAGCCTGGGTGACAGAGCAGACTTTGTCTCAAAAAATATTAAAAAATTAAATTTCAGTGTGACTAATGTCTACCATATTGGACAGTGCAGCTGGAGGCTTACTTATATTCAGCTACAACATTTTTCGGGGGAGAATACTCTGGTAGGTTACACGATGGCTCCCTAAAGTAGACAGTTGACTCTTGAACAACATGGAGGCTTAGATTCAGGTTCAACATTTTTGTGGAAGAGTACTTTTGCAGGTTGAATAGTGGCTTCCTAAAACAGACAGTTGACCCTTGAACAACGGGGTTTCAACTATATGGGTTCACTTATACATGGCTTTCTTTCAGCTAAACCCGATAAATATGGAGGGCTGACCTTTCATATAAGTGAATTCCACAGGGTCCTCACTTACATGTCGAGGGAAACTGTATGTCCATCTAGAACCTGTTGATGCAATCCTATTTGGATACAGGGTCTTTGTATGTGTAGTTAAGTTTAAGTTGTTGTAAGATTATCTTGGATTATCCATATGGGCTCTACATCTGATGACAAATGTTCTTGTAAAGAAGACATAAACAGAAAAGAAGAGCCAGAGAAGGCAAGGTGAAGGCAGAGGCAGATATTGGAGCCATGTGTCTATAAGCTAAGAAACACCCAGGATTGCTGGCAGCCAAGGGATGCTAGGACAGAGGAATATGGAACAGATCTTCTCTCACAGCCTCCAGGTAAGAAGCAACTCGCTGACACCTTGACTTCAGACTTCCAGTCTCCAGAGCAGTAAGAGAATAAACGTGCTGTAAAACTACCAAGTTTATGGTAATCTGTTAACCGGTGGCCCTATAAAACTAATACAAATACCTTAAAGGAAGGATATGTGCTTCAAATCATGTCATATTAATATGGCTTCATTAAATATGTAAAATGTATTTTTCCAAATTTAACATAACAAAGTAGGGTTACATAGCTTTTACCTCTGTCTTCTCCATCCTAAATATCTGATTGTCTTTAGTAATGCTGAGGTGATAAACTGATGTCTCCATTGTAAAGTTCTTCTATCAATCTTTCATCTAATTGTTTCTTTCATTGATCATTTTTGCCTGAATTAATTATTTCATTAGGGGTTGCACAATGGTCATTTGGAAGGTCATTTAAGAAAAAATTATTAGCTGGGATTCTTCTGTAAAGAAAATCTTTCAACAATTTTGGCGTTTTGATTATGGTGAGCTATATTTAGTATAGGGAAATCTGAATAAATGCTTAAATATTTCTTTTTCATTGCTAACTTTCAGAGTCAGGTGTTAGTGTCCTAGATACTTCTAATGGTGACAAATGAGTTATTAGGAACATTTTTTGGGGAATAAGGGATTGTGAACATAATTATAAACGTATGATTTTTTTAATATAAGTCCATTATATACAATACAAATTTGTAATAACATATTTAGATTTTCATTCCTAAAAAGCATTCCTTATACTTTTTTCTTACACATGTTGTCCATATTTAGTCAAGAGACTGCTTTATATGAGCTCCTTTGTCCTTCTGACTTAACCCTTTTGCCTTTGATAGCTTCCTTGCTTTACAACCAACAAGTAGTTCCAGGTTTATGTTGAGTATTAACCTGTCTTGGCCTCCCAAAATGCTGGGATTACAGGTGTGAGCCCCACACGATATATGGATACTAGTCCCATTAATGACTGCTTCACCTCCCAAATGCCCCACCTCCTAATACTATCACATTGGTGATTAGATTTCAACACATAAATTTGCTGCAGGGAATGGGGTTGGGGTGGGGGTGGGGGACAAAAACATTCAGATCACAGCAATCACTAACAGTATGACTATTAAAGTTTAAGACGTCTTCATTGCTCAATTTTTTGCTAGAATATATTACACTAAATATGTATAATCAAAATGTGTATTCTAATGTCACTTGAAGTATTTCTTTTTTCTGAATGGCTATGCAACAAATTTGTTTCACAGGCTGTTCATTTGGTTTGTTTTCAGTTTTTAGAGATTGTGTTTTCCTTTATATTTAATTTGCTAAATATGTAAGGCAATAAAAATATGTAAAGCATATTTTTCCAAATTTAAATATAGCAAAATATAGTTATAATGTATAGCTTTCTTTTCTGTCTTCTCTATCCCATGCGATATAACTATATTTGTTTTTTTAAAGCAAGCATGTCTATGTATTTTGATCCCTTCTTTCTTATAGAAAAGGTAGCATACTGTCCATATTTTTCTATACTTTTCTTTTTCAAATAGTGATAGAAGAACATTTCATATTAGCAAAAAAATTATAGACACTACAATTTCTTTAGATATCTTTCTTATTTTTTTAAATGTTTCACAGTATTCTACTGTGTGGACATGCTTTTATTTAATGAGTCATGCATTTGTGAACATTTGGGTATTTCTGATTTTTTGCTATTCCAAATAATGTCGTAATAAAAATTTTTGTGCAAATGTCAGTCCATATTGTTACCACTGTGGCTTTGGGGTGAATTCATACAAGTAGGATTCCTGGGTCAAAGAGAAACACACATACACTTTTTCTAGATTATGACAAATTTCCCTCCACATTTCTTTTATTTTGTATTGCCACCTGCAATGTAAGAGGATGCCTGCCTGTTTCTCTACAGTCTCATCAACAGAGCACATTGTCAAACTTTGGGAAATTTGATAAACGTAGGTGAGAAGTCATATTTCAGTGAAGTTTTAATTAGCCTATCTCTTATTATATGATGCTGAGTATTTTTTCATGTGCTTAAGGGCCATTTTCACTTCCTCTTCTGTGACTGTCCATATCTTTTGCTGATTTTACTATCAGATTGTTGGCCATTTTCCCCCCTTGATTTTTCCAAGACATTTGAATAGGAGCAATATTAGCACTTTGTCTGTGGTATAAGTTGCATATATATTTCCTTATTTGCCTTTTATAATTCATTAAACAATTATTGATTAGTGTTTCATACTTAATACCCCTCAAAAGCTTAGAACATTTTGTTACTTTTCTACACTATTTCTTGATTTGTCTCATGCAGAATGTCTCCGCAATAGTATAGTTCTGATTGACGTGGCCAGTACTAGGAATTTGTAGGCAGTAAAATTCTCTTTGCTGCTACTGTATGAACCCAAACAACAGAGTCAGAGATGAATAGAGAATAAAGAGAAGGTTTGCTCCCTATAGTGGTGACAGTAGTTGAGGTCAGGAAAGGTTTTTCTCGGAGAGCTTTGGGGTAAAAGAAGTAGTATCATTAAAAGAGATTATGAACTACCTGCTGTATAGCTTTCTTTATTGACAGCAGAGATAATTTGCCTGGCTATCATTTCTGCTTTTGTAATCGAAGCTACAATTAGGTCACTACAATTATCCTTTGTTCCAGAGAACAGGGGCTCAGTTTCTTCAGCTTTTCCCTATCAATGCAGATTCAAAGCTGCAAGCTATACCTGGTCAGGAACAATATGAGTTTTTTACTAGTGGTAGTAGTACTAGTATTATCAAAATTATTACACTGACCAGCCAAGACAATGTCACGTGCAATATGTTTCATCTTTTCAACAAAACTATTTTAACTGCATTAATATTTTTCACCATTGCCTCATTCCTGTCTGGTGTCTATAATATTTCCTAAATGATTTCCTTCTGTACCGCCCATTTTTTTTGTCAGACGAAACCAGATCTGACATTCTAAGGGAACTAGATTGATGGGATAATTTATCACTTTTCTTGATATAAATACATAAAAAACAAACACATTTATGCCTGTATAGTAAATTTGATACTCCACTGACACGCAATTTTTAAATGTAATTAATTGACTCTTTGTTTATGATTTCCTCTTTGCACACACAACACGGTGAGTTCTTCATGGTTTGCAGAATCCAGTATGTGGATATTGTGCTTACATAGTCTATGGTTTGCCAAAGATCATGGAGCAAAAAGCATGCTGATGTTCTTTTTATCTAAATCCTACATGCTCATTAAAGTAGGTCAAGGCAATAGAGTTTGGGAAGCTTCTGAGACTCAAGTGTGGGCTCAGAACATTCTAATTCTAGAGAATCCTGAAAAGTTAAAAGGTTCTTTGCCTGGGTGGGATGACCACAGAAAATACTTCCATATCTTCCATGGCCTGGAACCAAGCACATTCCCCATATCAAAAATGTGTGTGTGTGTGTGTGTGTGTGTGTTTACACGGAGTCTATTTCATATTCTAAACTAATGAGATTTGCAATTCCTACTGATGAGTTGCAGTTTTTACAATGCCAAATGGCAAGATTCTTTAGTATCTTTCCATTGCTACTAAACGCTGCCATTTCAAGAGAACTGCCCTTGAAGGCTCTCCAACCACTGCAATTTACATTTTCCCTAAATTTATACCTTTCCCAGACCCATTAAGCCTTCCTCATTGCTAATGCACTGAGTTCCTGTAATTTGTATTCTCATAATGTGGACAAGTTTCTCAGAAATGCTTAGTAAACATTTTTAGCTTTTCTTAGAAAATTAGCCCCAAAGAGAGGTGGGGATGTGACAGGGAACAACCTGCAGAGTGCTTATGATGTTCTCTGATAACAACTAGTTCCTTTATAACAGTCCTAGACAGTCCCTCTACAAAAGATGTCATTAGCATTGAAGGCATTAAATGATGTTCCTTAGGCTGCTGGCCAAGCTAACACTGAAGAAAGAGCTCTAAGAATCTGCCCTTGAGGGAGCCCTGCTGGTTGGATAAAATTTGTAACTTGCTGATGTGCTTTATTCTTACTGTTAATGACATTTGTAAGTGGCAAGAAATAGCATTTATTTTATTTATATTCCCCCAGTTTATATGTGTCCACTTTTTGTAGCACAGACCAAAGCAGAAAACAAAGTACATTTTCTGTATTAAAATTTTCTGGAGCACAGCATCATTTAATCTTAGGGACTGCCAAAGGTTGTATCTGAAAAATAAATGATAGGCCCTTGGCATGGTGGTGCTTATCATCATGTGGAAAAGAATGAGGATCAACCCTTTCTGTTGAATGTTTGAGGTATTGTAAGCTACGTAAACTTCCTGAAGAGGAAACAGGAAAAATAAAGAGAATAAATGGAAACTAGCTACATTTCCTTTCCTTTCCCTTCAGACCTTTCTTTTCTTTCTATTCTGTCACCCAGAATTTCACACCTGGCCGGTGCTCTCCTGGACACATCTTTGATCTTTGTCTCTCAAAGCTGACTCACATAAAAATGTGCTGAAGCATGGAAATCACAGGCTGTCCACACAGCATGTGCTGCTCTATTTCCTTTGTTTCCTTGGCCCTGAATGCCAGACTTCCCAAGGCCCTGGACACTCATCCGCAGGTTACAGAGAATCTTCATTGAAAGAACTCCGGGATTATGAAGAGCTCCAGAGGTACCACCAACTTCCACAGAGCCTGGATAAACCACCTTACATATAGAACCACGACAATACCTAGGAGAGGAATAAACACAGACCCTTCATACCTGAGGTTTCCATCTAGTCCAAAGGTATGGGGAACTCATATTCTGAAAAGTCACATTCTCTGCATCATAGAGAGTTTTAAAAGACACAGAGGGTGTAGTCTTTTCCCTCCTATCCTATTCACGCAGAAGACTTAAAATAGGTCCGCAAAAATATTGTATTCAATGACAGTATTTTTTTTAAACTTTTAAGTACAGGGCTTTAAGTGTAGGTTTGTTACATAGGTAAATCTGTGTTATGGGCCTTTTTTGTACAAATTATTTCATCACCCAGGTATGAAGCTTAGTACCCATTAGCTATTTTTCCTGATCCTCTCCGTCCTCCCTCCCTCCATCTTCCAAAAGTCTCCACTGTGTGTTGTTCCTCTCTATGTGCTCTCATCATTTAGCTCTCACTTATAAATGAGAACATGTGGTATTTGGTTTTCTGCTCTTGGGTTAGTTTGCTAAGGATAATGGCCTCCATTTCCATCCAGGCTCTTGCAAAGAACAAGATCCTGTTCATGTTTATGGCTGCAGACAGAGTATTCCATGGTGTATGTGTACCACATTTTCTTTATCCAGTCTGCCATTGATGGACATGTATGTTGATTCCATGTTGTAAATGTGATTCCATGTTGTGAACCCTACTGTGAATAGGGTTGTAATGAACATATGTAAACCACAGTATTTTCTATGGTGCTTATTAGCCTTGTCATTTTTGGCTTCTTAAGATGGTATTGCTCTGGAGAAAGCATATAGAATGTTCTCACAAGTCCAGACATATGCCAAGAAATGGGGCATGTCAGCCAATATGGTTTGATTCCAACATTTATTGAATATTTACTAGGTACTCAGAACTGAACTAGGCTAGATGAAAAGGACCAGGGACACATGAGTATCAGGTGGAAGAACCACAGGCTTTTCTATCAGGTCTGCAAACTAAGGTCCCCACCTACCTCCAAAATGGTAGTGAGAAGGACTTCCTTAACAGGGGCCCAAGCCTGAGGTGAGCATCCTTATCATCTGGCCTTCTTCCCTCTACCACACACACACTGAGGACACAGCATGGGCAGGGCCAAAAACTACCTTAGACAATCTCTGCTAAGCAGCCATCAGAGAAGGTTCGACAAGCTGATCCCGATGATGTCTGCTGTGTCTATGGTAATTCTGTCAGACTGTTGTGTAGCTAGGGGACAAGATAACTACCAGAAATGATCTCATCCTACTCCACTGGATGTTGAGGAGAAATGTTCTATCATGGCCATTGGTTCAAACCTGGGTGAAGAGGAGTATGAAGGAAGCTTTTATAGAGGACCATATGCTACATACACATGGCCTTGAGAACTACAGTGAGGATGTTTCATTTGTTAGGATAGGCAATGGCTATCTGTACACCAGAGCTTACTGTCTGATCTACCCTCGTTTGTCCCTCCACCAAGACCAATAGACACAAGCTAAGCCTATTCTTTGCAGTGCCTATTCTCAGTCCAGACCATGGCATTCTGTCACTCAGCTGGCTCCCTATTCCTTGGCCTACCTAGTTGCCCTTTGCTCCAGGTTTTGCATATAATTACAATAGAAAATCTCTTCATGTTTGAAAATAGACTTGTTTGATCTCCTGTTGGAACTGCAAGTTGCTAACCGATCCATAAAGTGTTTGAAAGAAGGGAGGGATTGTCATTTTTTATTGTGGCTATCAGGGTACTGTGGATGTCTGAGTTTCTAGATATGGGGAAACATCCTTCAATGACGTACATTACGACCCAAAATTTAGATTTGATTCAGACTTGATGTAACTGCAGCAAGGAAACACACTTTTTAAAAAGGAGGAAGGATGTGGCTAGATATCTCTTCCTTTCATGGAGAATCTAGTCATTAAACAGCAGTCAAACAATCTCTTTAACAGTCACTTTTTAACTGCTTCTCTGCTGGTAACACTTCCATGTCTTCCTTTAACACGTAGATAAAATCTAACCTCCCTGCAATGATCTGCGAGGCTATCCACTTGGTCACTGCTTCCTCTGTGACTCTGGCTTATGTCTGCTCACCCATAGTTATTCAACTCCAATTACAAAGCTTTTTTTTGCCTGAGGCCTGATTAGCTCTTGCAGTTCTTTCTGCCTGAAACCCCCTTCTTGCAACTGGCTCATCACTGAGATTGGATCTTGACATCTTAGGCATTCTTCCCAGTCCTATCTTTCTATCACATTTCTCTAGTTTATTTTCTTCATACTCCTATCATTACTTGATTTATCTTTTTTATTTATCTGTTTACAAGAATGGAAGCTTCATGGAAGCAGGGACCTTATTTGCCTTGTCTATTGCTAGAACCCTAATATCTCGCACAGTGCCTGGGAGACAGTAGGCACTCAATAATGTGATGATGGAAACAGACAAAGCAGGGTCTGAGAGAGAAGGCCAAGTGACAATGGAAGCAGAGACTGGAGAGGTGCATTTTAAAAATGGTGGAAGGAGCCATGAGCCAGGAATACAGGCAGCCAAGTAAAAGCCAATGATGTCGAGTCTGCAAAAGGAATCAGCCCAGCGGAGTCTAGCCCAATGAAACTAACTTCAGAATGATGGCCTCCAAAATGTTAAGAGAATAAATATTTGTTGTTTTGTAGATACCGAGTACATGGTTATTTGTCACAGCAGCAATGGGAAAGTAACACTGATTATGAATGAATGGAATTGATGGTGAGACCTAAAGAGAAGTATTTAGGTGTGCACTATTTTCATTCATAACCTGGGTCAGTATGTCTTTGCTCATCTTTCCTGCAATGTAGAAATATGAACAATGAAATTATCAGACCCTATAACATATGAAGAAAAAAATTAAATCAAATTCTGGCAGCTTTTCTTCTGTATGTCTTGAGGAGATTAAATATGGGATACAGTGGAACAGGAGAGAAAACCTATATAAATGGTTCTAAATGTTAAACATAACAATTACATTGGAGATGCTACAATGTTCCTACATTGTGTAGGCACAGCATCCACACAAACTAGTCCTGGCAGCTGACATCTGTAGTGCAAGAAATGACTACCTAGAAGAACAGTGAGTCGTAAGCAGATGATGTTAGGCCTTCTTTAAACAAAGATTAATTGTCTCATCAACTCCCAGAATACATTATACAGCACACGTTTGCTTTTGCTTTTTTTTTTTGAGACAGAGTCTCACTGTATCACACAAGCTGGAGTGCAGTGGCGCAATCCTGGCTCACTATAACCTCCGCCTCCCGGGTTCAGGCAGTGGCTGGCAATGAACCTGCCTCAACCTCCCGAGTAACTGGGACTACAGGCGACCACCACTGCTAATTTTTGTATTTTTAGTAGAGATGGGGTTTCATCATGTTGGCCCCGGGATGATCTCGATCTCTTGACCTTGTGATCTGCCCACCTTGGCCTCTCAAAGTGCTGGGATTACAGGAGTGAGCCAGAGTGCCCAGCCTCCTTTGCATTTTTAATAAAGCAAAACTTGAAAATGAGCAGCAATCTTTTCATTCCCACTCTTAGAAAATCTACAGTGACCTGCTTGCAAATAATACAAGGGAAGTATCCCAGAAGAGGTTCTTGGTTCATTAAAATAATCAGCATATTCCAATATGCATTCATCCCTGAAATAATAACAATTCACTTTCAATAAATTAATTATGGTTTTAATGAGCAAAATTTACATTTATATTTCTGCCTTAAGATCTTCATGGGAGGCAGCAGCATCCTCGCCCAGACAGTTCCACTGAAGCGAAGCCTTTTTCAGAGCAGACCTGGAGGTGTTGATGGGTATGTGAACACTGCTATTTCAGAATGGAAAAGCATGGTGATGTGGGGAGCCAAACAGCCTGGGATGGAAACTGAGCTCTGCCACTTTCTAATTTTGTACCATAGACAAATTATTTAACCTTTCTGTCACCTGTATATGAGAGATATAATAGTACCTACCCCAAAGGAAGAAGGCTAAATGACTTAATACCACAAAAGCCACTAGAAGAGTGTGGCTGGAACATAAATGACAATTGTTAGGAATAACAGTAACAGTCATCCACACCTGAGACAGGAGAGATTGAGAGCAAAGAGATACTTATGCAGTCTTCACATGCACACACCACTAGTAGCTCTTGAAAAACATAAACACAGCTTCTTTTAACTCCTCAATTCCACTTGGAACCCTAGACAGAGAGTAGAGACTTTTAATCAATGCTATATAACCTGGATGGGCCAGAATGCTCAGGAGAACAGGTGTGTTAATGGTTAATTGAATTTTCTGCTTGATCGAGAGCAAAGCAGCAAATACTTTTGGTTTGAATCTGTTGGCTGCAAATCTTTCGAAAATATACTAATCCTTTAATTTGCTCTAATCACATTCACTGAACAGATTTTTCTTTTTTAAAGAGGGAGGGACATCACTTGAAGACCACCCTTCTCTGCTGCAGTTTTCATCCTGTGACCTTGAGGTACTGAGGAATTACAGTGAAGTAATATTAGCTGTGACCTGACCTCATTCATTGAATCCACATTCCTAAAAGTTCATTCACCATGTGCCTGGCACTTGGAAGTGTTTCTTATTTCTTCCTGATTATCCCCTTTCTCCGTTTCCCTCCTGACTAGTGTAGTGTTCAGAAGAGAATGCAGATTAATGAAGTTTTGGGATAATTACTAACCTGAGAAGTTTAAAAAGTGAACCTACTTGTAAATGGAACTTGCTTTTTCTGGCTGTCTGGCATCTGCTCTATCTATGTCAATAGATGGGGGAAAAACTGGCCTTCGGTCACCCTAGTTGGCTTCTTCAGTTTTTCAAAACTGTAATGGAAATTCAATTTGCTCCACCTTTTGTTTATTATGGTGCTTGTGTTAGTCTGTTTTCACACTGCAGATAATGAAATACCCAAGACTGAGTGATTTATAAAGAAAAATAGGTTTAATGGACTCGCAGTTTTACATGGCTAGGGAGGGGGTCTCTATAAAGTTCTTCTTTATAAGGAGAACTTATAAAAGCATCAGATCTTGTGAGACTTATTCACTATCACAAGAACAGCATGGGAAAGACCTGCTCTCATGACTCAAATATCTCCCACTGGGTTCCTCCCATAACCCATGGGAATTGTGGGAGCTACAATTCAAGATTAGTTTGCGGGGCGGGGGACACAGCCAAACCCTATCAGTACTATGTTACTCTCTCTCTCCATATATATATATATATAGAGAGAGTAGTATAGTACTATATACAAATGGATAGTTTGTAAGCCACTTATAAGTATAGAAATATTTTGGCCAAATATTCTAGGCTACTAAGATTATAGTTTATAACTTAAAATATTTAAATAAATTTTGTATGTGTCTGAAGAATAGATCTTCAGTAATATAAATTTATGACCCAAAGTTATCTGCCTGACTTAATTGCTATTTTCCCAGAAAGTTTTGCCCTAAACTTTTCAACTGTATTCTGTCAGCTTTGGAGAAAGAAACTATAACAGAAAACACAATGATTGCTTGGAAAATCCCGTAGATTTTAAATAAAAATTTTCCCTGAGTCTTAAATTTCTCTCTAGTTAGCAGCAAAAATATCATGTATTATTGATGGGATTAAGAATTTAAATGTTGAAAAGTCTCTTTTAATTTGCTGCACAGTTAAGTCGTACTTCATGATTGAATCTAATGATTTCATTGCAAGTGTCTGGAAATACTGGGGGTAAAGAGGGTCTGTTCTGTTGTCCCAGCTACAACACTATTTTCTCATGGCTGCCTTCTCTGTGATCATACAGCATTTTAAAACCCTCTTTCAGCATTTATCACAGTCAGCTTTATTATAATTAGTTGTGTATTGGTCTCGCTGCTCTCTCTTAATCATGAACTTGTTGCGGGCAGGGACTAGATTGTGTTTTACACATATTGCCATTTCCCTCATGTGCCTAGATGCTCAATTAATATTTGCTGAATTATTAAAGAGTTCAGGCCAAAAATAATTAAAAAGTCAAAAGTGAATCATAACAGAAGTTATCTAGCCAAGTCCTCTTAAGTGGAAAAATTTCATATAACTTCAATTTAACCTCAGATTCAAAGGCGTGACAGCGCATCTCAAGGAAAAAGGTCCAGGGACCTAAAATAGATTACGTTAGTTCTCCAGATGATCAAAAGTACTAAAATTCATCAAAATACACATCTTTCTGATAAGCTTTTAGGCCTGAAATTGGGAACTATTCCACTGAAGTGACCAAGTTAAAGTGACCTTTCATATGAGAAAATGTAAAAAATGAAAAATGAGGAAAGAAGTAAAGACACAAGAGAAAACAAGATGATATAGATTAACAACAGTTTATCCAAGGAGTGCTGCCTATTAGGAAGACACATGCTTGTTAGATTTTCAAGGGCACACAAAGTGGGCGGGACACAATACAGGCCTCCACTGGGGGTTCCCAGAGAAGGCCGGCTTCCAGAGGAGGCCCCGTCTGCAGGGTGCCTCCAGCTGCTGAATGCAGAGCAGTTTCAGAAACATTTCTGTGCCTCAGTGAAAGGTAAATGAGGCTGGATTGATCTTGCAAGGATCTAGCCTGTGGAGATCAGGCTAGGGGCTATGAGGAAGAGATGCAAAGAGAGGCATCCAACAAACTATGGAGAGACTATGCCTAAGCCACTTTTTGAGTATGAAGATGACAAGTCTGCTCTACCCTCTGGTGATCTCTCAGGTATTCCTCCTGAAAATAAAGGTTCATTGTTCCCTTAGCTTGAAGGCCTTGAAGGTCCAACAGAATATATTTTTAGATGTTTACCTGGTGTTTGAGGTATAGATTTGAGCTTCTTGTAAGAAGTGCAGATTGTTTCAAGACCAAGAAACCTTATTTCTTTTTAAAAAAAATTAAGCCTAAGTCCTTAGCATCTATTACAGTACTTGCACCACAATGGGTACTTATGTGATTATTTTTAATGCATCAATCATCCATAAAGGGCATAATTTATATGATATCAGCCTTATTAGCATGTTGCCTTAACTCTTTGAGCCAGCCAGCTGTATTCTTTTCAGAAAATTAACAAATCCACTTTGTGCATGCTGCTCACCTGCAGGCCCAGGGCTCAGCACATTTTCAGGGATGAAAAAGTATGCGAGAAGGAGTGGTGCCTTCCCTGCAGGTGTTCCAGTCCCCTTACCCCAACATTTTTCTTGACTGCTTTTCAACATCTCCCTGTTTCTCCAAGAACCTAATTCTATTCATTGGTATTCTTTTATACAGCATGAAAACAGGTAATATATAATCATTTATTTAAACTAAAATATTACTTTTCCAGTTCATCGAGGAATGGTTATTTTCCAGTTCATCAAGGAATGGCTCACAGGGGATGTAGTAAGTAGGGTATTACCAGACACCGTTAAGCCTATATGCATATTATCTATCTATGTAACTATGTCACACACAAAGACACACACACGCAGGCACACTCGTGGTGAGAGCATTAAAGTTATTCTCACGAACAAGAATACTTTCAGACAGCTAAGCTTTCTTCATACCAGAAGCATGCCCTCAAGATGTCACAATGTAATAAAATAAATTCCCCTACTCCTTAGCTAGTCTATGCTTGAAACGGTTTCTCATATTCCTTCAGATGAAAAAAATTCCTTTCCTATATCATCTGATTATAAGGCAATGTAAAAATGAACATGTAAATAGAATCATAACATGTCTACATAGTTTCATATGCTTTCAAATGCCCTAGAAAAAGTTGTAAAAACATACTACATATTTTGGGTTTAATCTGTGATATTTGGAGATCTTCCTCAAATTTCCTGTGTCAGTTGGCATGATTTTAGTAAAATGTGTTTCTCCTGCTTAGAAGCAAAATCTTTCAGTATATCTTTGAGAACTTAAATTCCTATACTGGTTCACACATCATATTAGTTTATTATGTCACAATTTTAAAACATTTCTTTGAACTGAGGCAGAGTCAAGCTTATGTGACCAAGAGCAGTATAGACCAAGGTAATTGATATCTGTAGGTGGTTATTTCAAATTGATCAATAAGGACTGCACAGCTAGCTTCAGTAGAGTGTGCTTATACCTCTGAATATTCTTCATTTGGTGGCATGAATTTGTCACTGATGATATTAGGTATCCATTTTTACCTTAAGTCATATACACACTTGAGGCAAGGAATATTTTAGAATAATGTCAGTTTTCTTGGCATTGAATTTTTGTTTGCTAGTGAGATGAGTTATGCTTCCTTAAGAATTAAGTGCCCATTTCTTAACAGTCTGTGAAATGTTCTGGTTTCATTTAATACCTTTCTCTGTAAGGTTTTTGCTTCTCTGTCCATCCTTTGAAATAATTGGTGAGGTAAATCTATAATTACTGGGAATAGAATTGATCATCAAAACTAGGGAAACTATTATGCCAAGTTTTTAAGTTGCTGTGTGAAAATACCCTATATAGGAACATATTCAATTTGGGTTTAATATTGTCAAAAGCAGTGAACTATAATATTGAAGCATTTTGTTAAAGCTATGATCTTGTTTTTCCAAAGTGGAATATTTAATGGTAGTTGCATATTTTTTCAATATGCATTCATTTATGTGACCATTACAAAATGCGGCTCTGAAATTTAAAAGTCCAACTAGCAAATTATCCTTTTTTGACTTTCTTATTACATTCACTATAATCAGATTAAAAACATATGAATTACACCATACATTATCTTAACTCAGTGTTTTTCTTTAAAACAAAGTCAACCCACTAAAATGTCCTTTGATGCTCATTCAGCTAAAATCTTACACTTTTTTTTTTTGCAAAGGTGCACTATTTGATCTGAAAATATCTTTAAGTGCCTAGAATATATATATTTAGCACTTGAAACTTTTTCTGGCAATCAAAGCCTCTATTAGGGACTGTGAAACATTTTAGGATTATTGAACAAATATCAATTATGTCTATGTTCTCAGTGTCAATCTGGATTGGAAATGTGCCATCTTTTACATCTTCACTAATAGAATTTTTAATTAGCTGTTGATGCTGTCAATAATAGAGTCCACTATTATTTCAAAAAATGATTAGTCTAAGCAATTCCTCATCTACTCATTTGTGCGTTACTTTTAAGAACTGGTGCATACTATTATAATCAAGGTAATTTTTTTTTCTTTGAGACGGAGTTTCACTCATGTTGCTCAAGGCATAGTGCAATGGCTCACTGCAACCTTTACCTCCCGGGTTCCAGCGATTCTCCTGCCTCAGCCTCCCGAGTGGCTGGGATTACAGGCATGTGGCACCGTGCCTGGCTAATTTATAATCAAGGTAATTCTCAAGGAGGCCAGTATACTTTCAAAAAGAAGAATGTTTGACAAGATATTTTAATAGTTAGAAATGTTGTCTATTGCTTATTAAAATGTTGTCAGTTTTTGAAATTAAGCAACCTATTCAAAATTTAATACTGTTTTATACTTTTAAGTCAACCAGGACTTCACCGAATATCTTCTCTTTACAGAGATGTAAGAAAATGAAACGAGTTACAATCTATGCTTCAGGAGAATTAGGACTTAGACATGAATAAAACACATGCAATTGCAGGAGAGTATATGTTAGAAATATCTGGTAAGATAAAGGTTCTAATGGAATTGTGATGTGGACTCCTCATCACGGACTTGGAGAGTTTAGTCTGATTGCCTCCTTGAGAGAATAGCCCTTAGCATCTGAATATCACAAATAGCTGTTGCCATTTTTCATGATTCTCCATTTATATTAGTTTTTTATGCCTTCCCCCTGAAATACAATCAGCACCATGAATTCTGACTGAATTGACTCAAAATATGGCACAAAAATATCCTCATGTGACAAAGAATAAACCAAGGACAATGTGTCTCATCCATACAATCAAATTCAATTTTCCCTAAAAAGGCGATTCTTCCGTTTTAAAAGGTTAAAACAAATGGTACTTAAAAATAATTTCATCTGATTAAATTTAAGTCAATGAAAGAGGATGGGGACACAAGCGCAAATTCAGAACAACAACAAACCTCTCTCTGGGCCCACAGCATTTTCATTTCCTTGTGAAGTGGATGAAATAACATTCACTTTAAGGGTGTGTCTCTCAGGATCTGGTTCAGTGACAGGGAAACAAGTGCTGATAGTCCTGACACACTGGCCACTATGCTTCAGTGATCCATTTCCACTGTCCTCCTGCCTGTTACAAATGACCTCATATTTCTTGACACCATTTCATAGCCCAGGGAAAGTCTTATTTATATCTCTAAACACTATAGCTCTGTCGACCACTGATTTAGTCCATTCTACCTCTTATTTCCATTGTGGCAATTATTCAAAAATAAAATTAAAATCAGTATGGTTTTATAGTTGTTCATTCATTCATTCATTCATCCATTATTCAGCAACTTATTATTGAGTGCCTATTCTGTGAAACATAATATATTAGATACTGAGAGAAATAGAAAAATGCTTATGATATCATCCCCAAGCCAAGGAAATGGCATGGTAGTAAGGGAGAGAAGATATGTTTGTAAATTACAAATATATACAATTCAATGCAGAAAAGTGACAACAGTAATAATCACAAAGTGTGTCTATTATATGCCAAGCACAGTTCAAGATGCTTTAAGTATTTCATGTTATGTAAATTTTATAAGAACTCTGAAGGCTAGATATTTTTATCCCTTTTTTTCCCTTCAAATGATCAAGATCAGAAAGTTTTCTCAAAACATGCACCATCACATAGCTAGTACAGGGAAGAGGCAGGCTTTGAACCCAACAGTTTGATATTCATATACATTCTCTTTCAAAGAAAGACTAAGGAAAATAGTAAGTTCACCATTTATTAGCTATCTCTGTGCCTGGCACTATTCTGAATGCCTCACTTCAGAGTCTCATTTAATCCTCAAAACATTACTATGATGGTTATATACGCATTTTGTAGGTAAAGAAACTGAAAATTATCACAATCAAGCAACTTGACCCTGGATATGTAATGGGAGAATTATCTTTCAACTTGGTAGCTTGGGGAAGTATAATGGAGAAAGCAAGGTTTCACTGAATTTCCATTCATTTGGACCAACCCAGACAGGAGAAGGGTATTCTAGACAGGAGAAATGGTATTAGAAATGGCCCAGTGACTGGAAAGTGGTAATCTCAAAAAGTACGAACATTCCAGATTGGCTGAGCATAGAGGTCATATTGGTCAGGAGCAGAAATTATGATTAGAAGGTGACAGTTAGATATGTTAGGCCAAGGAGTTTAGACTGTATGCACCAGGTAATAGACAGTCACTGAAAGTTTGAGAGAGAGGAATGACTTTGATCAAAGCAATTATCACTGATCCATTTGTCTCTAACCTGTCATAATTTAATAACCTCTGCTTCAAGAAATCATAATTCAGAAATTATGTGTCTCCAAGAACATGAATACTAATATCTTCCATCTCAACAGCTCATTGTTGTTACTGTTGTTTAATACAGTTGAGGGGACTTTTCCATGACCTCTTGGAGAAGCAGACTTCTCTGCAATAGCCCAAACCACTTCAGCCTCTCTAACTCTCAATATGAGATGCTGACAAAGGACACAAAGCAGAAAGAGGCAGGAGTTTGTTTGTGCCTGGGAAAGGGGTCAGGTTCCTTGGGACAGCAACCAATTCCCTTCAGATGCACTGTAATGTCATTAAGTATTCACACTCCAAGGCCAAGGTAGGTAGCTGGAAAAGATGGAACAGAAAGAAAAGGACATTTCATTACATTTCCTCCAAAGACTCGATTCCAAATATTAGCAGGTTGCAGTTTCCACCCCCTTAATGTAATACATAGAAGAGAAGATGCAAATGTGGGAATTTTGTGAATTTAATAACTGTGGTTACAAGTGTTTTCTGCAGTCACATGCCCTGTGGACTTGGAGAGACTGGCAGTCACCCACCCCATTTCTGTCCCTTCTCCCTGAATGTGTTTCCAGGGCTGCCAAGAACTGGCTGCAGCCAGCACCCCCCCACTACTGTGCTACCATCTCATGCCAAGCTCACTATGCTTGAGGAGCAACTTCCAACCAGTGATCAATAAAAAATGAGGAGAAGCTTCTTGAATGGAAGTATCTGGCATGACTCCCAGCTGGGCAGAGTCTGCGCTCAACTTGGCCTCCTTTGTCATAACAGGATCCAATTCAGCAACTTCACAGATGGTGTTTCTCAGAGCATCCTAGGCTCCCAATACTGCATGGGTTATCTGGGATTTTAATTCCCAAAGATGGTCACAAAATAACACTGAGCACCAAGACTGAACCGGTGCATGCTTCGTAAATATTGCTTTTAATTTTCATGACCATGAAAGACAGATTTCTCATTTAATACATGAGGCTTGAAGTGGTTCAGTTTGTGCATGCAGAGTCATCTTTAGCCCACTCCTGGGTCTCGTAGTCTTTCCACTTGGCCATGTATCTCTCTGGGTCCATCACCTTGATTAGTTGGTCCCAAACATGGCTATAAATACAATCACTTGAGGAATACTTTCAAAATACATATCCTTAGGTTCACCTACAGAATTACTAAATATCTGTAGTGTATTTCTGTTATGTCTATCTATCTAAAATACGGTTTCTCAACTTTGGTACAAGTCAATAATTTGTACAAATAATTATTTGTTGTAGGGTGCCGTCCTATGCAGTACAGGATGCTGACATAGGACATGCCTGTGTTCTCCCAACTAGATTCCAGTAGCAGCTCCCCCGCCAGTGCAGCAACCGAAAATGTTCTCAGACATTGTCAAATACCCACTGGGTTCAGAATCACCCTAAGCTGAGAACCACTGATGTAAAAAGCTGCCCAAGAAATGCAGAAAAAGCATATTCAAAGTTTGGAGTTTGTAAATCACAGGCCTAGGTTAGTATTTCTGTGAAGGAGATGGGGCTGGAGGAGGCTAGGTGGGGATGGGGTCGGGGGAGAAGATTCCAGAAGACAATAGATTGAACATCCTTTCAAATCGTAGAGTTTGCCAACCTATGTGAACATCAACTAACCTTGGCTGGTCATGAAAGCTTCCCAAAGCAGGATATAACAAATGTTCCAATAAGGAAAGAGGATGAGAGACCACAGATTTTTTTTCAATATTTGATTTATAGAAGTTTGGTATATCCACAGTTTTCAGAGCACTTTCAGCAAATTAAATTTACTAGTACATTACCCAGCCCCAAACCAGCCCCCAGAAAATATTCTGGGTTCACTAAACTTTTATTTATGCAATTGTTTTTTCTTCTAAGGAACTTAGAAGTTAAAAAGCATTTTATCCAAGCAAAACGTAGAAAAGTGGGGCCTTTAAGTATGATTATTACCTTTTTTTTCTTTTCCTTTTTTTTTTTTTTGAGATGGAGTTTCTCTCTTGTTACCCAGGCTGGAGTGCAATGGTGCGATCTTGGCTCACCGCAACCTCCGCCTCCTGGGTTCAGGCAATTCTCCTGCCTCAGCCTCCTGAGTAGCTGGGATTACAGGCACACGCCACCATGCCCAGCTAGTTTTTTGTATTTTTAGTAGAGACCAGGTTTCACCATGTTGACCAGGATGGTCTCGATCTCTTGACCTTGTGATCCACCCGCCTTGGCCTCCCAAAGTGCTGGGATTACAGGCGCGAGCCACTGTGCCTGGCCTGATTATTACCATTTTATTTCATGGTACTAAAATGAGAAACTATTAGAATGCACCCTTAAAAGTGGCTTATCCGATGCCAGGAAAACAAATGGAAATGCACATTCCTAAATTCTAGTCACCAAATGGCCTCTACCTACTTACAGTTCCCCAAAGCTTTCACAGAAATTGCTCTTCTCAAAATATGCCACTGCTGTATTTAATCCCCATCAAAGCAAATTTATCTATATAGGTTGAGCATCCCAAATCTGAAAATCCAAAATCTGAAACTTTTTGAGGGTTGCATGACACTCAATGGAAATGCTCATTCGAATATTTCTGATTTTGGATTTTCAGATCAGGAATGCTCAATTGGCAAACATAATGCAAATATGCCAAAATAAAAAAAAATCGAAGTCTGAAACACTTCTGGGTCCAAGCATTTTGGATAAGGGATGTTCAACCTATATCTCCGAGATATAGCTCTGGTATCTCTGGCATAAAATCCAGTGAATTACAAAAGACTGTGGATCATATTCAATACCCATTTATTTATTTAATATGTTTATATTACAACCAAATATCCTGGATCGGCAAAATTTAAAATTTCTTTCCACATTTTTATCAGGTCAGATACTCTAAACATTTCTGTGGAATCATTCCAGGTAATTCAGTATAATTCCTTTTCAGAATGTATTCCAACAGCCCTATAACTACATACAATAAAGTAATACATCACTTCAGGGTCCATGAATTCTTTAAAAATATTTAAAATTATTTAAAACAATTTGTAAAGAGCCAGTGTACTTTATAAAAGTTTGCCTAAATGACTGTTAGAAAGGATGCCAGTCAAGTGATTCATTTTATGTATCAATCCAGCTCGGCTGACAAGCAGTTGCTAATACAGCACTTCTAACATTGATTCAAGTTCCATAAAAGGATTTTGGCTCATAAAAAATGCTGGCATGGCATTAGGATGTAGGTGTTTCCATCTCTGGTTTATAGAAATACAGTGATGTGCCAAGTTTTGTTGGTGACTGCAAGCATTTCTGAGAATATAGGTGTTACAGATATCAAATAAATGTATAGATATTAAAGCTACCTTCATCCCTGACTGTGTCTCAATCTCTTACTCTACTAAATCAGAGGCAAATTTTGAAAAATGGCCCTCAAAGAAAGAGTAGTTGGGGTGTATGGCCACTATGCTGTTGTGTGTGTGTTCTTTCTCTCGCTATGTTTTTAATCCTCATTCAAGGAAAGATGGCTATTCTTACCTTAACACAAGCATCAATAGAAATCACTGGGATACAGAAAGATCTCTTTTCATTCACTGAGTTACTTAGTACTATGAAAAACAGAAATCTGATAGCTTCTTTCTGTCAGCATGAAATGAGAACATGACCTTGTCCTGAGAAACACCATCTAGTAAGATTTTTCATAACTTCCATGCAGTGATGATCTAATAAGAATCTAAAAGTAATTAACTGGATCCTTTTTAGCCAACCAAAGCCTTATTAAAATACACATTTTTATCAGTATTCTAAGGGAGCCATAAATTGGGGCATTTTGAAAAACTGGGATCTAATCCAGTCCATGATCTGATCAGGGTTCAGTAGTAATAATAAATTGGGACTATTAAAACTGGGAATCATTCCAACATTTTATTTTACCCCGACCACAGGACCTAGAAAATTCCACTGCAAAAGATAGGGATATTCAGTGACGAGTAAAACCATGCTGAATTAATCATGTGTATGTAATCATGCCAAAACAGGGGTGTTTTCAACAGTTTAAATAGTGCCAAAGTTATTAAGTTCAGTAAATAATTAATTATTGAGAATTGCTTAGCAAATTAAAGAAATCAACCTTCTGGTTTCTTTAATATATCTTTTTTGGAGTAGACAATAATGACAAAATCCTATAAATTCACTTGTTGCTGTATATATTTAGGGGTGCTATATGTATTTAGATTACAACCAAAATATTAATTCCAGAATGTAATACTTTCCTTTTCCTTTTTTGACTCTAATAAGCATCTTCATTTTCCAATATGAAGAAATGTTGGATAAACTCTAGTCTTATTCTGGTTTTCATTTCAATTTCCAGTAACATAAAAATCCTCCATAATTAAATAAAATGCTGAGAGGTTGGGAATAGATTTTCACCCACTTGAATTCTCAAACTATAAATGGTTTCTGAATGTTTTTATATCTCTAAGATGCATTTCGTTTATGTGGGGAACTTGCAGCTGCATAATTAAATCTTGGTTTGCCAAATATCAAAAACACATGTATTGATTTAAACTAAAGGGAACAGGCCACAGCAGCTCAGCTGATAAGGCAAGGGAGAAGTCTCTGCAGTTCTTGGAAGGCTTCCCAAAAGGAAAGAAAACTAAGAACCTTGAATTCAGACGCTGAAACCGATTAACTTTCCTAAATCTTAGCTTCACTCTCACTTAGACATTCCGTTCAGGATAGTTGTTGAAAACAAGAGCCATATGTTTTCATATTTCTCAGTGCTGAAGCTGAAGAGTTTGGCTCTTTTTTTTTTCTCCCATCTCCTCATCTATCCTTCTAAGATTCTACTAAGATCTATGAAAGCAATGTTTAATTAATACAACAAATGAGCTTCCTGCAAAATAAACTCGGATATGGCATAAGAGTAACACAAGATTTTGGAGTATATAACTCACATTATTAAAAAATTTTTTCTTTGCAATTTTAGTAGAAAACTTCATTTATTGAAGTTTTATTTCAGGGTCAGTAATATGGAACTTTAATGGAAGATAGTCTTTGGTGTCAGCGGAGATATTTTTCCCAGGATAGTAATACTAAATTGATGATGAGGAGGGGGACATATTTTCTTTTAACTAATCTCCACTGGATCTTTGAGACAGTATTAAGAATACAAGTATTTAGTTGGTATTTTACAGCCCAAGATTCTGATTAATTCCATACTTTGTAAAAGTTTACAAACTTAGGTCTTAGAATTAAATAACAACAATATATACTTACTGACATATTAAGACAATATCTTGCTTTCAGCTCATGATGCTAATTTACGCAATCTAAAGGTGTGAAAAATGCTAATTT